GGATGCATACCGTGGAAACTGCAGCAGACATTATACACACACAAAGCATGAAAAAATACCTCCTCCCACCCCACTGTCCTGCTGGTAATAGCTTATCTAAAGTGATCATCAAGTTGGGCCATTTCCAGCACAAATACAGGTTTTCTCACCCCCTGAAATGGCCCACCTTGATTTTCATACACATTGTGAGGAGAGTGGTCACTTTGGATGGGCTATTACCAGCAGGAGAGTGAGTTGGGGGGGGGGGCGGAGGGTGAGAAAACCTGGATTTGTGCTGGAAATGGCCCAACTTGATTATCATACACATTGTAAGGAGAATGATCACTTTAGATAAGCTATTACCAGCAGGAGGGTGGGAGGAGGTATTGTTTCATGGTCTCTGTGTATATAATGTCTTCTGCAGTTTCCACAGTATGCATCCGATGAAGTGAGCTGTAGCTCACGAAAGCTCATGCTCAAATAAATTGGTTAGTCACTAAGGATCACAGTGTGACCCAGACTAATGGACAGACCTTCTCCCAAGCAGCTTACATCTTGAACAGATCAAAAAAAAAAAAAACAAAGAAAAGAAAAGAAAAGAAAAGAAAAGAAAAGAAAAGGGGAGTGGGACCAGGCTAGGACAGAAGGCAAAGTAGTCAGCCCATGGGAACCTGAGCCCACCTGTGGTTAACTCCATGAATATTATTTTTCCCCCTCAGTCAAGCAACACCAAACTGTGGTATATAAAATGCTGGTTCTCCTGGGCTGGAGTTCATCTGACTTTTATAAAATGGAACCTGTGCAAAATGCATAACTGAACTTCCCGTTTAAAGCCTGTGATTCCCCTGACACTGCAGCTCTTGGAGAGAAAATCTACACAATCTGCATCTCTCTGTGTCCGTGCAATTAACCGCAAATTCCCCTGAAAACTCTCCTCAGAATCAGAGATATGCTATTATGGCTCCATATTGCATCCTTTCTATTGGTTCTCACAGGTGATTTAATCCCTATGGACATGGGAGATGCCCAAGTATTATTAGAGAAGTCTTAATGTCTCTTTTTTCTACCCAGGGAGTCAGTCAAAATTAGAAATTGTGGCGTCTGGTGGAGAAGTTAAAATGCTCAGGGACTCTCTCCAGATCTCCTGCAAAACCTCTGGATTCAGTTTTGATGATTATGGGATGACCTGATACCCTATATGCTTGGACAGGGACTGGAGTGGGTATCAACCATTAGCTATTGGGCTGGAGATACAAAAAATTACGCTGATTCAGTGAAAGGCCAATTCACCGTCTCCAGGGACAATCCCAGTAACCTGCTGTATTTGCACATGACTAACCTTAGACCTGAAGATGCTGCTGAGTATTACTACATGTTGGACACAATGTGCGCCAGGCAGTCTGTGCTCAGACGAGAATGGGTTTTACTGCAGAAGATTTCTGCCGTGGAGGCTGAAGACCTGAACAGTAGCAAATCCCAAAGGAAACCAGCTCAGACAATCCGCTCAGCTTTAACAATAGTAACAGGTTACCTGTTTCCATCCACTTTCTTCCCTGACCCTGGATCCTGGATTCCTTCCCCTAGTACCAGCTTTCCCCTTGTGGCAACCTTCATTCCCCCGCTCCATCCACTCTTAGTCTCCAAGGGACAACAGAAACCAAGGCCTCTCACCACCTGGCCTTGTAGGGACTCCAGCCAAAGGAACTTAATTGTGCTTCAAAATGGGGGCAAAGGGAGGTCTTGGAAGATGCATGGGGATGTGTCCACATGGGAGAGGGGACAGAAAGAACATGCAATGTATTAGTGGGTTTCTTAAACAAGACGGCAAGGACTGATGGGCTTTGCCATATTAGATGTGACCAGTGCAGGCCTCTATCTACTTAATTATCTAATATAAACAATACAGAGTCGTGTTTGTGCTTTGTTCAGTTAAAACAAACAAACGCCACAGAGGGCCAGCCTGCAATAGCCTTACCTGGGTGAATTGTTCCACTGAAGGCAAGGTGGCTTGTGGAATAAGGAACAACTTATTGTAAGGATACCACAATGTGACCCATAGCAACAGACAACCCTGAAGAGCTTGGCTTTTAAATGGGAAAACCAAAGAAATAGACAAAGGGAAAGGGAGCAAGATACAAAATAAAGCAGGGGTTCTCAACCTTGGACCGCAGCTTGTTCAGGGTAAGCCCCTGGCGGGCCACGAGATGCTTTGTTTACCTGAGCATCTGCAGGTTCGGCCGCTCCCAGCTCCCAGTGGCCACGGTGTACTTGCATATGACTACCCTTAGATGTAAAGACCCTGCTGAGTGTTACTGCATGTGGGACACTGTATGCAGAAGGCAGCTCAGACAAGAACCTGGACTTGTGGTTCTTAGGAGCAGATTTCTGCTGGAGAAGCCAGAAAAACATGGTAGAAAAAAGCAGAGAAATTCCAGTTTTCTTGAAGGAAAAGAAAGAAAAAAAAATAAAGAAACTCTGGGTCTCTCTGTGTAAGAGAAATTTCATTTGCATGCACATCTATTCAGGGTTTGGTGGCAATGAATAGGTACATGCAAATGTGAATGCCTTATACAGTGCATTTTACTGAAGAAGCCAGATTAAGAACTAAAAAATTGGGTCTTTTTAGACTCTAAAATGATGACTCTCATTATATCTTTCTTTATACATTGGGATGCAAATTGGGGCTGATAATTTAGGGCTAATTTTAGCCACTATACCATATTCATTATGGGCCAGATTTCCCAATGTACGTAGATCCCTACAGATGCAGATGGGACTCAGGTGATAAATATCTTTGAGGATCCAGGTCCTAGTGAGATTTTTAAAGAGTCTAAGTAGGTTAGGCAGCTAACTGCTATTTAAATCAAAACTATTCAGCATCTAGCCTATTTAGACACCTTTGAAAATCCCATTAGATGTCTATCTGCATCTTTAGGCATCTAAGTACATTGGAAAATCTGGCCACATGGTTAGGATTTTCAAAGGAGCCTAATGAGTTTGGTGCCCAACTCGCACCTTTGATAATGCCATCCAAAATAAGATTAGTTGAGAAGTACAGTACAATATGAGCAAAGAGCTGGGGAGGGGGAGGAAGAACAGAACTGGAAGCTTAAACATTTCAGATTGTGAAGACAGGAGATATCTATGGATTCTTTTATCACTACACACCTCCATTGTGAAGTTCATAAAATCAAATATTTAACCACAAACATCAAGGTGGGTATTTTTAAAGTGAGTTAGGCACCTTAATCTCATTGAAATCCAATAGGAGTTAGGTGCTGAACTCACTTATGCCCTAGACAATTTATCTAAGGTATTTATATGGGTCACATTAGCATAGTATCTGTTTTAACATATTTATCCTCACAGTGCTCCTGTCAGTAACCCCGTGAAGCTCTAATGCTTGTACTTCCCACCAACAGAAGCTGGTCCAATAAAAGATTATCTCACCTCCTTTGTTTCCCTCACACCTTGGGGCCAACACGGCTACAACAACACTGCAAGTTACTCCCAGTCGGCACATGGGAAAATGAGGTATAAAGAGCATGAGGGTATGTTTCGCAAAAGTACCAAGTGATTTAGGAGCCTCTAGGTCCCATTTTCAAAAGTATCTTTTAAAATCAATCCTATGCTTGGTTCATTCAGAATCTTCACCTCTCAGGTTCTTCTGAATTCTTTTCTTTCAATAAGAGTTTGTTGGCATTTGTTGTTTGCAAGTCTCATCTCATCTATGTATTTTGGTTTCCCAGCTAAGAGAAAGTATTTGTTCAGAGTCAGAGAAAAGAGTCTCTGGGTGGATTAGTGTGAAAACGTTTTAGAAAAGCCTTTGAATTTACAGTTTGTTTAATCTGGTTCCTGAATATGTGTATCAAAAGAGTCAGCACAGCATGGGAACATTGCTTCCAGAACTTCACACGACAGATCATAGAACTGGTCTAGAGAACGTTACACCGACAACAGGTTGTCAGGCTTCTCTGCCCATGAGCAGCTGATACCATTTCCTCTTTCTCACACTGGGACCTAAAAGGACAGATTCCAGATCTGGTGTAAACTGTGCTATGGCAGTGTACAGCAGATGAGGGACTATCCCCAAACGTAAAATCCTCGGGAAAAGGATACAAGAGTCTCAAAGCCATTTTCTTTTTAAAAAATCTCAGTATTAGAAGTGTTTGGGAAGACTCTCTCAGGTTAGACAAAGTGCTCAGCTGTAATTCTATCTGATACTTTTAAACTAAATAATTTGGAATTGATGGGTCAGCTTCTCAAGGGGTATAAATCATCAGAGCTCCATTGACTTCACCATAGCTGTGCTGATTTACAGCAACCAGAGTTCTGGGGTAAAATTTTCAAAAGACACCTAATGACCTAGAAGTCTAAGTCCCATTTTCAAAAAGGTATTTAGGCACTTTAAGATGCCGATAGGTGCCTAGTGGGATTTTCAAAAGCACTTAAGCAATTTAGGCAGCTAACTGCCATTGAAATGAATGAGAGTTAACTGCCTAACTCACTTAGGTATTTTTGAAAATGTGACCCTGAAAGTGCTAAGTCATTTTTGAAAATGATACTTAGGCTTAGATAGTTTTGACTTTTTTACCCTTGGTCTGATATCTTCGAAATGAATATACTGTGGCCTTGGTAAGAGGCAGAAAGCACATGGCTTTTTATGGTTAATTTGAAAAATTCAAACGGAAGGAATGACTCAACTAACTTTTTAAGAGAATCTCCCCTCAGATATTTTGTTTTGGAATGGGTAAAGGCAGTAATACAAGACATGGAAGGGAAGAACAGTCACTTTTCCTAGGAGGGTGGTGAATGTGTATGTGAAAGGACTGGACTAGTTAATTAACAAGATTAATATTTATCTTGTGCTCTCCTTTGCTTGGTCTGACAATTCAATGGCTTACTATACTCAATAAGGAGATATAAAGATATTTGTATAGATTTTTAGGAGCATACTTTATTTTGCTCAATAAAATTGATCCTTCCTGCTGCAGCAAACTGATTTAAATTGGAATGAACAGAGTTTTGAGAAGTCACCTCCCTTCATACCCTGCCACAGCCATAGAGAGAGACGACAACTTTGTAAAGAAGTGTATCACTGTGGAGTTTGACTCTCCTGGGACAAAAGTTACAGTAGATCCAAGTAAGTTCTTGAAGTAAACCATTTAAACATGGAAAGAGAATTCTTATACTCTATATGTTATTAGAATCTGAAAAATCACAATGTATTAATTTTTAAAATATAAATATTATACATTCCTGTTTTATGAAGCCATCTTTACATGATTACAAATAACTGTGTGTCTGGGGAACTATGTTTTAGTAAAATGGATCCAAATCCTCCGCAGGTTTGAACCAGCATTCTTTCACTAAGTTACTGCAGCCAGACACTTCACTGGTGTAAACTGGCTGTAGATCCATTGGAGTCAGTGGGCCAGATCCCCAGAGGGCATGAATCATCTGTAGCACCATTTGCATTCGTGGGCCAGGTCCCCAGCTAATGTAAACTGGCATAGCTCCATAGAGGTCAATGGAACACTGTGGCTTTATAGTACCTGAGGATTTGGTCCATTATGATTAGAACTTGAAGATATGATTGGAGTTCAGATGAGAAGTTTAGTTTTGTGTCAGTTCATTCTTTGCTGGGCTCATTCTTTGCCTGCACATTATCTGGAATTATTGCTGTCACGTTGCTGTCTCATATTTATATCCCGTGACAAAATGCAAAACTCTCTTCCAGTGTGGGTGATGGTTTGACATCTCTAATCTGTAGCACAGAAAAATCGTATAGCAGGTACTTTTGTTTTCTAATATAAATTGATATAATTACCACTTTCCTAGGGAGCATATTCCATAGTCTCTTTGTTCTCCGTGTGAGCATTATAGTTAATTACCCAGACAAAAAATATTTTCTTAATTTATCCAAGTTTCCTCTCACTAGATTCCTAGAAAAATCCTGAACATTTTTCTTATTCCCACCCATGTTGGGAAGTCCCTTTGTCTGTTTTCAAAGAGTTATCACTTCCTCCCTTAGTTTTTGCTTAGCCATGCAGTACACACGTCTACTTCTTCTTCTTCTTCCATCCAGTGTCAACAATCAAGATCCCAGCCCAACCAATGGGACTTGTGCTATAGACTAGACAAAGCTGTAGGAAAAAGGAATGGCCATTACCCCCATTTTACAGATGGGAAAAGAAAGCACAAGAGAGGTTGGTCTGGGACTAAGGCAATCTTGGTTCTAAAACTTCCTCTGACATGGACTTGCTGTGTGGTTTGGTGAAGTGACTTCATCCCTCTGTTCCTCAGTTTCCAATCTGTAAAATGATGCTAAAAGTTCATTAATTCACAGGTCTATTTTCACAAAATGGGATTCTTTTACTTTAACTTGAGTTAGGTCAGAGTCCAATTTATGAATATATCTAAGGTGCTTAGATACTACTTCCATATAAGAAGATACATCATCTGAGCTCTGTAATAAAAATGGAATGCCTAGCAACTTCACTTTTGGGTGTTGTGCTATCAAAGGGTCAAATTCCACCCACAGTTACATGCACATTACCACATTAAATTCAATAGATTTGCACCTGCATAAATAAAGGCAGAACTTGGACCCCTTCATGCCTCAGAGATCTGCAGCACAGAAAAGATATCTGTTATACAGATGATCATAGAACAAAGATGTGCTTTTGTTCAAAAGAGGTTTCCTGCCAAATTGATATACCCCCCCAACAGCTCAAGCTGTTTTATGCTCTGCCACAACATAAAGCCATCTTAAATTAATTAAGTTGGGCTTGTGGCTGCTTTGGGTTGCTGGAGTGATGCAAAGAAGGTAGAGTTTTAAATAGAAAGAAACACATTTTCTTTTTTCACCTTTGAATTTGTTCATGAAATCAGAGAACTGAACTTGAAAACGCTGAAGTAGAAATTCAGTTACCAACTCTGCATGTATATATGAAGATGCTGCAGACATTAAATTTTGAGTTTTAGGCCTTCATTCTTGAAAGTGACTCGTAATTTTGGGTGCCCAACTCGGGGCCCCATAAGTGGGACTGATTTTCAGAGGGTGGATGGTGAATATATTTTGAATGAGGCCTCCTTAAGGTGTCCTAAATTGGGGAGCCAAAAACTGAAGCCCTCCAAATTACAAATCAATTTAAAAGATCTCGGCCCTATCCTTAACCTCAGCACCTAACTGTAAAATGTTCTGTGTGATTTCTTTTCATGAGAACAGTGACACTTCAGAGTTGACCTTTTGCCCTGCCATGCATGACAACATGATCAATTCCTCCTTTCAGATAACCCAACACCTTCTCAGCCTTCTCTTGTGATTTTGAAGTCTGCAGACTCCAGTGGTTCAACTGCTTGTTTAGCAAGAGATTTCTACCCTCCCGAACTGAAGATGTCCATGAATACTGACAGCCCCGTTCTCTATGAAACCATTGAGCCTGTCCTCTCATCCAGAAAATACCATGCCATAAAGGTTGTCAACATTACATCGAACCAAGATGTTCATTGCTCAGTACAACACCACAACAAAAAGTTTAATAAAATTCTTGCTGCAGAGAGACTGCCAGGTATGGTGTTATGGATCAGAGAAGAATGACCCCTAGTAAATTCTTTAACACTGGCTGAGATCCTCAGCTTGCATAAACCACTGTTGTTTCGTTGAAGTGACACTGATTTTCAACAGCTAAGGATAGGCTTTTAAGACCAGAAGGGAGCATTATGATCATCTTACTTGAGTTCCTGCATAACCCAGGCCAGAGAAGTCTGTGCCGCAGTTCCTGCACTGGAGGGAATGAGTCTTCCCTATTCTGTTGGTTAGCACTTGTGGGCAGACGTCGATTCTCAATTTTCTGTGTCCAATTTAGATTTTTTTACCTGCATAAGGGATTTGCAAATTAGCAGCTCTCATCCCCTAATCGTCTTTGAAAATCTGAGACTCCATGTGATGATGAGTTTATCACCTCCCTTGGTAATACCCACAGTTTAATTACCCACACTGTAGAGGTACTATTTCCAGTTTGATATTATTGACTTGGAGAAAGCTTTTCAAAAGTACCTAAGGGACCGATTCGCAAAGGTATTACTGTGTCTAAAGATAAAGATTGGTCTCTAGTGGGATTTTGCAACAGCACCTAATAGGTTAGATGCCTGAATCCCATTGAAAGCCAACGGGACTTAGGCTCTTAACCTGTTTATGACCTTTTAAAAATACCACTCTCTGTCTACCTCCATCTTTAGTTGCTTACCTTTCAAATCTGGACTTTTAAACCCTAAACTCCATTGACGTTCAATGAAACTTCGGCTTCCAAATGTCTATATCTCTTTTGAAAATGGGACTTAGGCTCCTAAATCAAATAGGGACAGTTTTTAAAAGGTATTTAGCCATTTACAGATGCACCCAGCAGAATTTTCAAATGCACCTAGATTCTTAATTTCTACTGACATCCACTTTTGAAAATCCCTCTAGGTGTCTAGTTGCAAGGTAGCTAAGTATCCTTAAAGACCTGTGAAAAATTTACCCTATATTTTCTTCTGTTTTTGTCTTCTATGCCAGAAATCTTCTCCCTGTGTAGGTACTTTTAGAGTGAGAGCACATCACCCCTTAATATTCTTTTAAATAAGTGAAATAGATACAAGCTGGGAGATAATCTTTCAGGGCCTCAGCCCCAGCTGATGTAAACTGGAGTGGCTCCACTAAATCAAAAGTGCTGCACCTATTTACATGGGCTAAGAAACTGGATCTCGGTCCAGAAACTTAACTGAATCAAAAATCTCAGACATTTCCTTTGTTCATCATGGAAGGTGTGTGTTCATCACTTGTGTTTCATTTTCTTTCTCTTCAGCTTTAACAACTCCTGGACCTACCACAAGCTCAATTGAGATCTGCAGAACATCAACTCCTAGCCCCCAAGGTTAGTTTGAAAATAAGTGGAATTTTAGGGCTTGATTCACTGTTGAGTTATTCCAGTTTTATATCATTGTAACCCCATTGATTTCAGTGGAATTACACCAACGGCTACTTGTATTTCAGTGGTGAATCAAGCCAACAGACCAGATCTTCAAATGATATAAATGTGTGTAGCTTCCATTGGCTTCTATTCCAGTTGAGAATCTGGCCCGACATGTGGCTTGACTCACTGAAAACTAATAGTGATCTGAACTATGTAAAAAATTGTCCTTTGCCATCTGCTCTGAACATCTGTTATCCTCGAGTCTGATTTCCAGTGCACATTCTGCACTGTTTCTACACCTGCAAAACTGTATCGGTTTGTTTACCACATTGTTTTTGTGCTGATATCAAATTGCCACTTCAAAGCCACAATCTCTCTTGCACTTTTGCAGATGAAGATATGGAGAAAATGAATGCGCTGTCTATCACTGTGTTGGGCTTGAGGGTGTTGCTAACGAAAAGCATTGCCTTGAATATGCTCCTGGTCACTAGATACCTTTATTTCTGAGGTAAGAACTGAGGGTCAGTGGGGTTTAGGGCAGTGCATAGACCCTTTTTATGTCCTCCAAAGAGGTGTGCATTACACACAGGGGGAAAAGGTTGTTCAGACTCCATTGTCCACCCTCCCATCCTCTTTTACAAATGAAGAGACAAGGCCTTAAGGTTCAATCACTGATTTTAGGTTTTAGAGAGCTGGGTTCAAGTCCAGGTATTCCCTACATTAATTTAGGCAAGATACAAAAAGCCATATTTTAGAGGCTTTTATGCACATACGCACCTAACAGGTTTTTCAAAAGGAGTAGGTGCCTAACCCCCAGCGTGCTTTTGGAAGTCCCAAAAAGCACCTATTTTCATCCTCATGTGGCAAAATACCTTTAAAAATCTGGCCCTTAAGATGGAAATTTGAAAGCGGTTTTAGGTTCCCTGGAAAACCTCAGCATTAATCTCTCTGCATTCAGACTGCAACAGGTTGCAGAGAGATTCCTAGGCTGATCAGGGGAATGGAGGGCCTATTTTATGAGCGGAGAGGAGATTAAAAGATTGTTTAGCCTAGCAGAATGAAGGCTGACAGGGGATCGGATTGCTCAGGACGGTAAACACCATCCAGGGAGAAGGGCTATTGAAGCTAAGGGACAGGTCAGGCACAAGAACAAATGACCATGAATTTATTTAGGCTGGAAAGTAGAAGAAGGTTTCTAACCATCAGAGGAGGGAAGTTGTGGAACAGCCTCCCAAAAGGAGCAATTCGGCCAAACAACTAGCTTAAAGATGGAGTTTGGTATGTTTATGAATGGGATTATATGATGGCATTGCCTGGGATAGCAGGAGGTTGGATTTGATGACCGAGCAAGGCCTTTCCTGTCTTATGTTGCTTTGGGCCTAGGTTCCCCACCAGTAAAATGGGGAGAATGATCTTCTCTGTCTCATCTATTTTGGATGCTTAAGGATTTAGATGCCCAACTCCCATTGGAAGTCAACAAAACTTGGACACCTAATTCCCCCATGTCCTTTGAAAATTTCACCCGAAGGAGCTGATGCAAAACCCATTGACTTCAATGGGAGACTTTCCACTAACTTGAGTGGGTTCTGGTCCAGGACTAACAACAATCATGAAATGCTCTTTTTCTTACAGGTTGGACGAAGGGAGACAGCAATGGTTTGAAGAAGATACAAATAATTCATTGGCTTTTATTCTTTATTAGAGCTGGTCAAAAAATGAAAATAAAATCAAAATTTCAAAGTTGAAATTTTTGAAGGGTTCAAAATGGAGCCAATTTTTGTGTTTTCCAAAAATCTTCACTGAATTTTTATATAACAAAATGTTGAATTTTTAATTGAAAATATTATTGAAATCATTATCAAACTTTTCAGTCTACCAAAAATCTGCTTTTTAGCAAATGAACAAATAAGTATTTTGATATTTTCAATAATATTTTCAATATATTTTGTGAAAATTTTCACAAAATTAAAAATATTTAAACAATGCCTTTTTTGAGAAAAAAATAATTTTTGAATAAAAGCTCTTTTTGATTAAAACAATTATCTCCAAAATTTTGGCTAGCTCTTCATTTTATTTTACTTTCCCCTAACACTTTTAGTTTTTCTTTTATTTTTTCCAGTATATCTTAATTTTGAATTAATTCAGCTCTTTCTAGATATGTGAAATGCTAGTTTCAACAGATGCAGTTAAATGTCATATTTTTTAATTGTATTAAATGACAAAATTTACAGTTTGTTTGTGCTAGCTGTATTACATTGATTTTTTATTCAAAACTATCTTAAATATTAATAAAGTCAAACCCAATTAAAGAGATTCATTTTATTTTACGTACATATGTCAGACATATGGAAAAGCCAATTGTATTCTTATTCAGAATTATATTAAGTGAAGAGTGCCTCTTAGGACCTAGATTTATCCATGTTTTTGTTTTCTTCATGAATAGTTTTAACAAAAATGAAACATTTTCATTAAAACTTTCTGTGGAAAAATTCAACTGAATTGAAACACTGAAATACTTTTTGGCCAAAAACTGCTAAAACCAAAAATGTTTTTGTTTTTCAGATGAAAATTTTCAGTTTTTGGGTTTCCAACAAAAAAACAAAAAAATTCAAGGAAAGCAGACACTTCCCATGTAAAATTTTGTTTAATTAAATACCCAGTTTTCCATGAAAATGTTTTAATGGAAATTTTTAAATCAGATATTACATGAATATTCTATTGCAATCTATTTTATGGCTTAATAAATTCAAACCCAGTTAAAATGACTGATCTATTTAAATTTTACTTGTATTCTTATTTTGATTACGTATGACAAATATGTAGCAACCCTAACCCTAAACCTCGCTTGTTAAAATTTAGCTCACATCCTGAACTCTGAGGATTTACCTTTCTTCCAACACTGTTGTTTATCACATTTTTACTCCTACAAAGGCACATTCTAATTTCCATGTAGATGCCCAGTCCTCTTCCGAATGCTGCCTGGCTTTTGGCCTCAGTCACTTCTTGTGGCAGTGAGTTCCACAAGCTAACCTATCATTGTGTGCAAAAGTATTTCTTTTTCTCAGTTTAAAAATTGTTGCTTACAGTCTTTTCTCTCTTTCTACCCGTTATGCTTTGCCGTGAATGTTCCGAGGTCCAAAGTTTGCAAAGTATAGGACATCCAAAGCAAAGATGCAATTACGAATTTATTCCCCTCCAAACTAGCAGCGGTATTTTTTTAAAAAATTCTAACAATTTAAACCAGCTTTGTTTTCCTTTCCTCCTATTTTCATAAGAGTCACAGAGAAACAAGTGACATTCAAAGTTCACACACACAAAATATTGTTGTCTTTGCTGCCGTCTGATAACAGGCAGATGCTGCAGGGAGGCAAGGGGGTTTGGTTTCTGTGGTAACCTGGATCTTGGAGACACATCTGTCCACATGCTCCGCCTCATACCAACTTCTCACCCGAAGCCCTGCCAGCTTCTAGTGAGTAGCAGAATGAAGCTGGAGGGCTGTGGTTTCACACTGCAAATAAGTCATGTGCTACAAACCACCGAACACACCCACCCACCCACCCACCCACACACACACACACACATTTTTAAAAAAAGCATTCAGACAGCTTGGGACAGATCCCCACCTGGTGGAAATGGGCATAGTGCAACTGAAGTCAGGGTGCCAGATCCTCAAGTGGTGTGGATCAGCGTAGCTCCACCGGAATCAATGGACCAGGCCCCCAACCGGTGTAAATCTGAGTTGCCCCACTGAAGTCAAGAGATCCCCAGCTGGTATAAACTGGCCATAGTTCCACTAGAATCAACAGAGCAGCACAGATGAATATCCATTCCTCTGTTTCCATAGAACGTGAAAAGTTTCTGTTCTGATGGCTAGATTGGAAGTTAGATTGATAAGTGAAGAGCTCCCACTAGTGTCAGAAGTGTTAAAAGTTTTCTAAATAAAGCACATACATTTTTGAAGGGGAGTGGTGAGTGGGATGAGGGACAGGGTCAGGTATCGAGGCTAAGGTTAATCATTAAAAGGAGAATACAATTTGCATTAGGAATAGCTTTGTTTTATCACTTTGTTTTCTGACACAGACAAGAAGTCTTTAATGTGGACATTATTTTTATGTGTGTTTCGATAGCATCTAATGGTCCCCACCCATATCTAGGCCTCATTGCGTTGGGTGCTGTACAGACACATCGTAAGAGCATGCCCATGCTCCAAAGGCCTTATGCTGTAAATAGACACAGCGTGGAAAAAAGGAAATATCATTGTCCTCATTGTACATATAGGCTGTGGAGGCCTAGGAAGATGACGGCAGAGATTTTGAAAACCAACCAAGGGATTTAGACTTAAACAGAGTTTTAAATTCTGGAAATCCTGAAGTAAGGGACTTGTCCATGATCACACAGGGAATCTTTGGCAGAGCCAAGAATTGAACTCAAGAGACCAGAATCCCCATTCACAAATACAAGACCTACCTTTCCTGACATATATTCACACGTAAACACAAGCATAACGTTACTGTAGAGCCCTGCAGATGCACGGTAGCACTGTGGGCGCATGGCACAGTAATAGGTAGCGCTGTCTTCAGATAGGACGGCAGATATCAGCAAGTGGAAGGCTTTTCTGGCATGATCACGCCTCACAGAAAAGCGCTCCTTGACAAAGTGAGCATCAAACAACCTTGAATCATCCCTGTAAAGGACGAGCTGAAGGGTTTTGTCGGAAACCAGGCGGTACCAGTATAAACCTGGGTCCATTTGCTGAGAATCATAATTGCAGCAAAGCTTGGTTTTGTTTCCCATCTTCACTGTGAGGATTGAGGGGGTCTGTGATATCTTGTTGCACAGGAAGCCTTTGCCTGAGAAACAAATTTTACAGGAAATCAGAATAAATAACACCTGTAAATGGTAGTGCAGCATGGAAATAAGTGGCTTGTTGGCTATGCTGATTAATCCAGCTGGAAGTGTGAATCTCCTAAATTAAGACACCAGTTACACCGGGCTAAACCCAGAGTCAATGCACTGTCACCAAGTGGGTTTACTGTGGATTTACAGGAGTGCAAGCGGTTTTACCGATCAGGGCACATGAAGAAAGAAAGAAAGAAAGAAAGAAAGAAAGAAAGAAAGAAAGAAAGAAAGAAAGAAAGAAAGAAAGAAAAAGGTTTACAACTGAGACAACTTACAAAATAGCATTAGCAGTAAATTATTTAGCACAAGTGTCTGAGTCAGTTTTCTGCTCTCGCTCATGGTGGTAGATGAGAGTTTGAAAGCTTCTGTGACCCTCTGCTTCTCAGAGATTATGACAGGAAGAAGGAGCACAGTTTTGTGCATGAGTGATTACGTGAGGATATGTAGAGGGTGTGTAGGGAGAAGATTATGGGTAACATTTTCAAAAGCACCTTGGAATTTAGGAGCCTAACACTCATTAGCTTTCATAGAATCATAGAATCATAGAATATAAGGGTTGGAAGGGACCCCAGAAGGTCATCTAGTCCAACCCCCTGCTCGAAGCAGGACCAATTCCCAGTTAAATCATCCCAGCCAGGGCTTTGTCAAGCCTGACCTTAAAAACCTCTAAGGAAGGAGATTCTACCACCTCCCTAGGTAACACATTCCAGTGTTTCACCACCCTCTTAGTGAAAAAGTTTTTCCTAATATCCAATCTAAACCTCCCCCACTGCAGCTTGAGACCATTACTCCTCGTTCTGTCATCTGCTACCATTGAGAACAGTCTAGAGCCATCCTCTTTGGAACCCCCTTTCAGGTAGTTGAAAGCAGCTATCAAATCCCCCCTCACTCTTCTCTTCTGCAGGCTAAACAATCCCAGCTCCCTCAGCCTCTCCTCATAACTCATGTGTTCCAGACCCCTAATCATTTTTGTTGCCCTTCGCTGGACTCTCTCCAATTTATCCACATCCTTCTTGAAGTGTGGGGCCCAAAACTGGACACAGTACTCCAGATGAGGCCTCACCAATGTCGAATAGAGGGGAACGATCACGTCCCTCGATCTGCTCGCTATGCCCCTACTTATACATCCCAAAATGCCATTGGCCTTCTTGGCAACAAGGGCACACTGCTGACTCATATCCAGCTTCTCGTCCACTGTCACCCCTAGGTCCTTTTCCGCAGAACTGCTGCCTAGCCATTCGGTCCCTAGTCTGTAGCTGTGCATTGGGTTCTTCCGTCCTAAGTGCAGGACCCTGCACTTATCCTTATTGAACCTCATCAGATTTCTTTTGGCCCAATCCTCCAATTTGTCTAGGTCCTTCTGTATCCTATCCCTCCCCTCCAGCGTATCTACCACTCCTCCCAGTTTAGTATCATCCGCAAATTTGCTGAGAGTGCAATCCACACCATCCTCCAGATCATTTATGAAGATATTGAACAAAACCGGCCCCAGGACCGACCCTTGGGGCACTCCACTTGATACCGGCTGCCAACTAGACATGGAGCCATTGATCACTACCCGTTGAGCCCGACAATCTAGCCAGCTTTCTACCCACCTTGTAGTGCATTCATCCAGCCCATACTTCCTTAACTTGCTGACAAGAATACTGTGGGAGACCGTGTCAAAAGCTTTGCTAAAGTCAAGAAACAATACATCCACTGCTTTCCCTTCATCCACAGAACCAGTAATCTCATCATAGAAGGCGATTAGATTAGTCAGGCATGACCTTCCCTTGGTGAATCCATGCTGGCTGTTCCTGATCACTTTCCTCTCATGCAAGTGCTTCAGGATTGATTCTTTGAGGACCTGCTCCATGAGGACCTGCTTTCAATGAATCTAGGGCTCCTTGGAACTTTGGTCACTTTTGACAATGGGACTTAGGCTAAGAAGCAGTTTAGGAGATTTTGAAAACTTTACCCCATGAGTTTGTGGAAGCCAATTTATGGTGATAGCTTTATAGGCGAGGTATCTCTCTTGTGCTAAGGTCAACGCAGGTCACCATGTCCATTTGTGTGTGCATGTCTCTCTCTGGGAGTGTCTCCGTATATACGTGAGTTTATATATGTGTATGAATAAACAGCTATACCTACTCATGCCTGTATGTGATTGTGGCCGTGTGTATGTTTGTTAAGGACGTTTCTCTATATGTGTGACTGTGTGTATATATACATGAATATGTGACTGTGGGTTGTTATGACAACATGTGCATGTAAGTTTGTATGTGTGCGTACATGTGGATGTTAGGGTACGTGTGTGTCTGTGTGTATACGCGTGTGTCTTCCCATTGTAAATTTGTGCAACTCTTTATGTGTGATGCTGTATGCAGCTGTGAGTTTGTGTTTGTGTGAGGCTGTGTGTGCCTATGTAGATTGTCAGTTTGTGTGCTTGTCTATGGGTATTACTAAGGCTGTGCAAATTTGTGTGTGTACATGAGAAACATTGCATGAGAGTGCGTATACGTCTTGTGGCTGTGAATGTATGTAAGCCTGGGTGTCTGTCCGTGCAACAATATGTGTTTGTATCTGAGTCAGTAGGGGTGACCTTTTGCATATCTGAATCTGTGACTCGGTATGCTTTTGCCTTGTGTGACGGTGTGTGTTTGTGGAGAAGGGGGAAAAGACTGAGAATGAGAAAACGAAGATAGGGTGAAATGGAAATCAATCAATAGCTGTGTATAAAACTAACCCAATTAGCAAAATACATTAATAAAAACCAAATAATCTTATTATACAGCACTAGTCTATTGGTGTGATATAGAATATTAAAAATTCCATATGCTGGATATCTCACTGGATTCTCCCTGCCAGCACAGCTTTGGCCAATTTTTCGATTATGCAATTCAATGTAGAGAGGAATCAGTATCTTAAAAAATGTGTAAATTTCTTAGCACCACCCATCTGGACTGAATTTCTTTCTGTGGTCTCTTTTGCCCTCTGCTGGTGAAATCCTTAATTTTTCTGCTAGCAACATTTTAAATTGAACAATTCCAGTAAATAGGTCAAAGGGAAAAAAACAACCATCCTCTCTGCTTATACCACAAGGCACATTTATTCACTTTTCTTTCCATTTCTCATCTTGTCAGCTGGCTGGTGCTTCTGCATGCTGAGCAGTTAAAATGCAATTTGCTGGCTGCCGGGAACAGGTTGCTCCTCTTTAAAAGAGGGCTGAATGAGATAACAGTGTTCTAAGAGGAGATTTGAAGACGTTTTCCTTTTGGACAAGTGCTAAATTACCCGTATGACAAAGTAAGTGACTTATAAAAACTACTATGGAAGATGGAATTTAGGAAAATTTTTCGAGGTTGCCTCAAGGGTTTGGATACTCAATTCAGTTAAGCTTAATGGAAATCAGACCTTCAAATAAATTTCAGCCATGTCTCATTTGAGGGAAGGAATATCATATTAGTAGGGTTATGTAATGATCCTGTGGAACTCCTTGCCACAAGGTACCAATCTGGTCAAGATATTAGTAGTGTTCAAAAAAGCTTTGGATGTCGATATGAATAATGGGAACATCCAGAATGATGTTCGAGGTCCGAAGTGTATCAAGGGTATAAACTAGAGCTAGTCAACCAAGTCCAATGGAAGGGTTTTCTGTCAGAAAATCCTGTTTCATCAAAATTAAAACTTTCTGCTGGAAGGTGTTGATCAAATGTCATTTCAGAAGAAAAGTGGAAGAGAACATTCTGATGGGCATTCTGATGAGGTCAAAGCATCCTTTTCTGACCTTATTGGAATGGAAAATTTCAGTGTTTCATTTCAAAATGACTTTTTGCTTCCAAATGTTTCAATTAATATTTTCTGATAAAAAAACAGGCCAAAATCAGAATGAAACATTTCGGTTGTTTGAATTTGAATGCTCTGATAGACCAAAGATAGAATTGTTTTGAAAATTCCATATCTGTGGAAAATTTCAATTTTGGGGGTTACAATTTGGAATGAAAACTAATTTCAAAGTCTTAAAATCTTTCATGAAACAGAAATTCTGTTTCCCCTCCAGCTTCAGTGCACAAACCAACCATTAAATGATGGGGTCAAGAAGAAACTTCTCCTCTGGACAGACAAGTACATAACATCCTGGTGTCTGTCAGCTTCTTTTGAAGCGTCTGGTACTGACCATGGCTGGAAAAGGGCATTGGACTCGATAGAACATGGTCTGTTCTAGTGGTTCCTTTGTGCCCATAAACCTCTAGAGTTTTTGCTGAGGGACTTATCACTGTGGAAACAAAGTGTTGCTTCCCCTCCACTGACCTTTGAGGATGGATCAGACTGCTTCAGATGCTAGGTAAGAACCACATCAGCATGGGAACTTTTTATGTCATAAACACATTTGTATCATTATAAAAATGTTCTTTTAGTGTGTTGAAATGGGACTCAGGAGATCTGGGTTTAATTCCCAGCTCTGCCACAGACTTCCTGTGTGACCTTGGGCAAGTCACTTAATCTGTCTGTGCCTCAGTTTCCCCATATGTGAAATGGATATAATGATCCTTCCCTATGTTACACTGGGAGGGTAAATTCATTAAAGTTTGTAAGTCACCCAGATATTGCACTGATGGGGAGTCATATAAGTACCCAAGCAGAGAGACAGAACAGAAATATATGCATTGGTTGTACTTCTTTTCCCACTCCACTTATAAATGTCCCGGATACTGATTCCTCATTGATGTCAATGAGAGAATTTCTGTTCACTTCCATGGCTTTTGTATTAGGCCCTTGCAGAGAGGTTTTCAAAGTTGTTTAAGTGGTTTGACTCACTGATTCCCTTTTAATTTTGGCTGAGGTTTTCAAAGGAGCCTCAGGGAATTAGGCACCTGACACCTATTGGAAAATCCCAGACTTTAATGGGAATTGGGCCTCCAAATCACATAGGAAATCACAAAGCTCACCATTTTATGCATGAACACATTTTGCACATCTGTAAGGACAGAACTCCAGTAAGCTTCATACTCCCAGATTTCCAAAGTCCGAAAGCAATTTAAAAAAAACATTGTGTATTGTTAAGCGTGTCTGGAAGTTGGGAAGACTGTTCACGGAAAATCTCTTAATCTAAACTGGGTCATAAGTAAGTGACAAATGAGGAAGAAGAAGGTTTGATGGTAAGTGGCTTAGGGGAGATTTTTGCAAATTGGAGTCAGGCGGTGGTGGTGCTGATGGGCATAACAAACTTGTCTTTGGATCAGGAACGAAACTTAAGATTCAGCCAAGTAAGTATGAATTTCATTTAAAACCTAAACCAGTCTGCATTGCTGAAGAAAGAGTCTCCTCTTCTTTGTACTGCCGTAACATGGCTTAGTTTGCTTCTCATAGTTTAACTGTACCTTAGAGACCAATGCTGGAATTTTCAAAGGCTTCAAGGATCACATGGGGGAATTGACTGGCCTAATTATTCTGGAATAGCTATTTTGGTATGATTCAGAATAATTTCCATATGTGGACATTCTATTACAGAATAAAGGTGATTTTATTCCAGCATAATTACTCCACTTTGTGAACAGAGTAGTTATTCCAGAATAAAGTCACTTTTATTCTTAAATAGGCTGCTGTCCATTTGTGGACCAGTCCCTGGAACATGGCTGTGATTTTTGCCAGGAGGTTAAATTAACAAACTTGTGGCCACACTGAATGAAATAGTAATGACTGTCTGTGGAAAATGCAATTTTAATGTTATTATTCCAGTAGCACTGAGAGGCCTCAGCTGGGCTTGGGACCCCTGTACCAAAAGTGTAGTGAGAGATGCTCCATGCCCTGAAAGATTAAACAGCCAAAGGGTGGCAGGGGAAATAGAGTCACAGAGCAGTGAAGTGACTTGACCAAGTCACATTATAAATCAGTAGCAGAGCCAGGAACAGAACCGAAGTGTCCAGACTCCCTGTGCAGTGCTTTAGCCACTAGATCATGCTGCATTAAGCCATGTATAATTTGTAGCAAAGGCTGAGATTTACAAAGTCATCTGTGATATCTGTATGCCCAGTTCTCATTAATTCAAATAGGATTTGGGCATACAAATCCCATACGTTCTTCTAAAATACCACCCCATCTTCCATTAAGGTTAAGGAGGATAAGTAGATGAATCCCTTAGATAGATTAAAAAAATCTCAACCACACCCTTTCAGGCTGGGATTTCCAAAGAATCTTAAGGGAGTTAGGCACACAAATCCCTTTGAATATAAATATTATTTGGGTGCCTAACTCACTTAGGCCACTTTGTAAATCCCAGCCTGGGGATTTTTATAACTCAGATGGCATAAACCAGAAGTCAGAACTCCTTTCACCGAGAGGTGTTAGAATCAATTCTGGCAACATATGGATCAAATCCCCAGGTGGCATAAATCAGCATAGCTCCATTGAAGTCATGTGTGAGACCCTTCACTGGTGTAAATTGGCATCGCTCCACTCAATGAAGCAGAGCTGTGAAAATTTACCAGGACTGGCCAGAAAATAAGAATTCTGGCCCATGAACAATTGTGAGTTTTACAGTTTGTTTCCATTCCACATCAGAATGAAATGGAGACCTTTGGAAATCTGAAAAGAGCGAGAGATACCCCAGAATAGCCACTTGTCCAGTGGTTAGAACATGTATCTGGGTTGTTGGAAATCCAATTTCAAGCCCCTGATTTGCTTTTGAAACTTGCATCCATGCTGAAGTAATGAATTAACACAGTATGGACAGACAGCTAGCTTGCTCGCCAGGCAGACTGTTCACCATATGTAATGAAGGCAGCTCACAAAAAATGATAGTTTCATAGATGAGCCGGGGGAGGGTTATTGTAAAGGGCAGAGAGACTGTGGCGATGCCAACAATTTCACGCTCACATCTGAGAGTGGGACAAGGTTAAAAGTTGTGCCAAGTAAGTGTTTCCGTTGCAACTGGTCAAACACTGTAATTATTTATATTCAAGAGAGCATATTGCCATCGAGAATCACCAGCGGGTGTACAATAAAAACAGACCTGGAGACAGAGTGGAAAACACCGTGTGTTTGAGCTGGGGTTTTTGTAAAGTGACTGACAGATGTGGGAATCAAGGTGACAGGAAAATGATATTTGGAGCTGGGACTAGACTTAAAGTACAACTTGGTAAGCGCTAAACATTCAGATGGAGGGAGTTTGATTTTGCATGGACCATATGTGGGCATTGGAATCACTCCTGGAGGTAGATTGGCCAAATATTTTGGGCACCACGTCATACTGGGTTGGTGGCTGGGTACGATGGGACATTCTTGAGAGAGGTTACGTGTAATTACACATTTTTGGAATTTTATGCAGAATATTTTAAATAAAAAATGTTCTTGATATTTGAGAAAAATGTAAACTTTAAAAGCAAAGATTGAGCTGCAGAAGGGATCGGGATGCACGAATCCCCTAGCAACTTTGAAATCTCAGCCAAAACATTTAAATTTCCCCCCAGATATATTTTATTTTTAGAAATGGTTCACTTTTTAAAAAATGTCACCATGTGGTGAAGCAGATCAATCAATCAATCAATCAAGAGGCAATGGAAAAAGTCTGAGACATTAAAACTCTTTTTGATAAAAAATGGAAAATTTCAGGAAAATAAAAATGCTTTTATGGAAATTTCTGTTTTTGAAAATTGGCCAGATTTTGTCTTGTTTTACTGAACTATTATGAATGAATTAGATGGGAATGAGAAGAAAGGTAGAGATTTTCAAAAATGCCATGGGTATTTGGATGTCCAATTCCCATTAAAATTTACTAGGAATTAACTAAGCATCCAAATCCCATAGGTGGCTTTGGAAGTCTCAGATAGACACTGTTGCCTTCATCTGGTGTAAACCTGTGTAGCTCCATTAGATCTGCTTTACACCAGCTAAGCATCTGGCCCCCTGGCTGTGTGTATTCTTAGAAGTCAAGTAGGATCTTTGGTGAGCTACTGGTTTTTGTAAAGCTCTCTGTGAGAGTGTAACACTGGTTCTAGCTCTGAGAAGCTCACATTTGGAAAGGGGACAAGGTTGTCTGTATATCCAGGTAAGTTTCAACCATCCAAACTCTGCATAAACATATAAGGTGAAATCCTTGGATGTGGTGACTCCATATTGACTTCAGTGGAGTTACACAAGGAGATAATTTGTTGTCCTGAAATGTACCATTTTCAGCCTAGGGCTAGAGCCACAGCTAGCATAATTTGGCAATGAATAAAACTATGATAAATTAAACCAGCTGAAAATCTGGCCCCTAATATTGCTCATGTTTTTGTAGAAAATGTTTACGTCCTCACTGGCTAGAAAATGGGACACTTGTGGGTGTGTACAGGTAGGAGATGAGAATGGGATGAGAATGTGATGAGAATGAGATGAGAATTGAAACCAATCACCCAAGTGTAAATCATGAGTAACTCCATTAGTGGCCATTGGGGCCAATTCTCTGTACACTCAGCACAGTGTAAATCTGGAGTAACTCCATTGAAATTCAAGAGGGCTTAGGCACTTTTCAAAATTTTATCCTGAGTGCCTAAATCCCTTAGGGAATTAAAGAGATAGATAGATAGATAGATAGATAGATAGATAGATAGATCACATTATGTAACAAATATACCTTATATTTCAGAGAGGAAATGAAGGTGAGTTTTTGTTAAGGGCTTAGATGCTGTGAGAAACACCAATGAGAAGCTCACATTTGGGACTGGAACACAATTAAAAGTAGTGCCAAGTAAGTCACTCAGTTTTAACTAAAGAAAATTTTCAATGGGCTTTCCAAAGAAATGTAAGGAACCTGAATCCCATTGGTTCCAATGCAAACTAGGCACCTAACTGTGTTAGACTGCTTTGAAAATCCCAAGCTTAGATATTAGAGTCCACTAATTGTTGGTGTGAATCATCTAAATGAAGGACAAAGGTTGAGCTTCAAGTAATTAATGATATAGATAACGAGTAAGAGATTCATAGAAATGTAGGGCTGGAAGGGACCTCAAAAGGTCATCCAGTCCATCCCTAGCTCTGCGGCAGGATTAAGCATACATAGATGATCCCTGATAGATGTTTGTTTAACCTTTTTTTTATACCACCAGTGACGGGGATTCCATCACCCCATTCCACATAATGAGACAAAGCTGAATTCACTTTTTGGTTGCTATGAGTTTTTGTAAAGCAGTTGGCTGGTGTGCTAATGATGCCAGCAATAAGATGACTTTCGGAGCTGGGACTAGATTGCAAGTGCAACCTGGTAAGAAAGATGGATTGGAGATGGGGTGTAAATGAAAGGATAATCACAAATGATCATTTAGGTTTTGATAGTGGTCTCCCATACATTCAGTTGACCATGAGTGT